TTTATATTTAGTCCTGAAGGACATGGGAGTTTGCACCTTATTGACATTACTATGATGTCTGTGTAATTAGAATTGTGTTTTTATACTCTCATTGGATAATTAATAAAACAGTTATGAAAACATTCAGGCATTCAGTAAGTAGCTACTGCCTAGTTTGTGTTCTGAGAAGTAACTTTTAAGCCCTGGCTGGTGTGGCTCAGTGGATTGAGTGCTGGCCTGTGAACCAAAGGGTCACGGGTTTAATTCCTAGTCAGGGCACAGGCCTAGGTTGCGGGTTGGACCCCCAGTTGGGGGTGCACGAAAGGCAACCACACACTGATGCTTTTTTCCCTCTCTTTCTTGCTCCCTTCCCCTTTCTCTGAAAGTAAATAAATAAAATCTTAAAAAAAGAAATAATTTTTAAAATCTGTGTATGTTAAATTCTTTTTCCTTGCCTAGTCCTATCTTAAATATTCTAAGAAGGAGTGAGGGGTTGATATAGAAGGAATGAAAGATGTAGGTCAGGGTCCCTGAAAATTCACAGTCTAGTTGAGAAGCCCAGATGTATCTATTGAAAATAGGGAATAGCAGGAAACAGATGTAAGATGAATGTTTTCTTGTCACCAGCATCCCACATCCTTTCACTTCTCCTGCAGGGGAACCACTGTCCCAGTTTCAACAAGGAGTTTGATTTGAGCACAGACCAGGCAAAAGAGACCTGCTTTGCTTTCCTTAGCCCCCTGGAAATATTCATCATCTCCTTTTTCCAGTTTATTGAATGAGCACATCTATTGCATAAGTGATTTCAGGGAGGATTCTAGGATTTCCTGGTCATATCAGTCTTGAAATACTCCCTCTTGCCTCCTCATCTAGTATATTTCCTCTTGTATTTCCAGTATATTCTTACTTATGGGTATAAAGATAAATTGATAATAGACATTAACTCTGTCTTCACTTATTCTCAACTTTCCTTTAGGCACCTTTCAATCTAACCAGAAGGAAAGCCTTTGAAACCAAGACATTGAATTATTCCCCTGGAGTATTGTAAACTGTAATTTAATGCCTCAACTAGATTGTAAACTCTTTAAGGTTGTGTCTTACATTTGTTTTCTATACCTAATACACTGCTAAAAACTTAGTATATTTTTCTCAATTTCTTTATTCCACAAAAACCAAAACTTACAGGAAGAGAGATCGACTATTTTCATTGGGCTGATGAATTATGCTGTTCATGCTCAGCAGAAAGTGGGGAGCTCCTCCTTTGAGCTGAAGCTTCACACATGTTGATCTGTCAAGTCATATACACCTTTTTCAGAACATCACATTTCCATGCATATTTAAAATGAGCCGTACACATTTAAACCACACTTATGTACTCCTTATTTTGCATCATTTATGTTGTTGATTTTTTGTGTTAGAAATTATTGGGTATTACTCTTTGGAAATCTTTGGAAATAGCCAAAAAGAAAACGTAAGGGACTTATTGCAAGAATGTTTTTAGCATTTTCTCATTCAGCTCTGGATCACTGAACAGACACATTCAGAAGAATTACTTTACTAATTTTTGAGGTCATAAATTCACCCACTAATAGTTGTCTTTTCTGGAAACTTCTAAAGAGATAAGATATTACTCTCAATTGAAAATGATTTGAAGTGAGGGGATAGGGGAAAACAGATTTTTGGAGCCCTGATTGGAGAGACTGTATTTTTAGGGCTATTTGGCAAATGTCATGAAGTTCCAATCTCAGAGGGCATCCTAGAAAGAACGCAGGCTCACGTGACAATAGGAGTGGCAGTTGAGAAAATGAGATCTCCAAGGTTTCTTCTGAGAAATCAGCTGACAGTCTTATGGGCACTCCTTTGTAGGTTACTGTCTCCTTTTCTCTTGCTGCTTTTAAGATTCTCTCCTTATCTTTAATCTTGGCTAATGTGATTATGATGTGCCTTGGTGTGTTCTCCTTGGGTCCAACTTCTTTGGGACTTTCTGAGCTTCCTGGACTTCCTGGAAGTCTATTTCCTTTGCCAGACTGGGGAAGGGGCTAGAAAGAAGTATTCAAAGTCATGAAAGACAAGGACCTACATCGAAGATTACTCTATCAAGCAAAACTATTGTTTAGAATGGAAGGGCAGATAAAGTGCTTCCCAGATAAGGTCAAGTTAAAAGAGTTCATCATCGCTAAGCCCTTATTATATGAAATGATAAAGGGATTTATCTAAGAAAAAGAAGATAAAAAGTGTGAACAGTAAAATGACAACAAACTCACAGTTATTAACAACTGAACCTAAAACAAAAGCAAAAACAAACTAAGCAAACAACTGAAACAGGAACAGAATCACAGAAATGGAGATCACATGGAGGGTTAGCAGCGTTGGAGAGGGGGGTGAAAGATACAGAAAATAAGTGGCATAAATTATAGGTAGAAGACAGACAGGGGGAGGGTAAGAATAGTATAGGAAATGTAGAAGCCAAAGGACTTATATTTTTGACCCATGGACATGAACTAAAGGGCTGGGGAATGGGGTGCATAGGGTGGAGGGGGATAAAGGCGGGGAAATGGAACAGCTGTAATAGCATAATCAATAAAATATATTTAAATAAATTAAAAAATGAGGTCTCAGTTCTTTTACCAAGTGGCTCAACAGTAGACCATATTAGTGTGAACAATCCACAAATACTGCAAAAAATGGGAAATAAGATTTACTTTCCTGAAGTCTTTCCTTCTTTCCTCTCAAAAGTGAATTTTACCTTCACTGGGCCCTCACCACACTTGATTTATATTTTCATTATAGCTTTTCACATAACTGCTTACTGACCTGTGCTTTGCTACCTGTCAGAAGGTAAGCCCCTTAACGGTAAAGATATTCATTAAAAGTAGACTTAATTGACTACTTTTCTTTGAGGTAAAAATAAACACAAGAGAGATTTTTATTTATAGTTATATTATTAGTGACCTTTGTTTCATTAAACTTTAAGAAAACTTTAGAAGATAAAACAGTTTTATAGGAAAAGGAAATAGCTGCTATTATGGAGCTAGGAAGAAGCATAACATTCAATCATAGATTGGAGATCTCTTCTGAATATTCAGGGTAGATAGAGACCAGGGTTAGAGGAGCCTGGGTGTGTTTGGGGGGGTACGGGGAGAGAATAGGATTACATTTTTATGAAAGCCCTTTCCTGTTTTCAGCAGCTTGGTCAGAATCATTTTAGTAATGGAAACTAGAATCAATGTACCTTTATTAAGGTGGTAAAATATTACATTAGTCTTAATTATACTACTAATCACTACCTGTGAAATAGAAAAAAATATCAAGGGAGAGTTGATTGCTTTCTGGGCTAACTGACCACAGTCCTATACCTTTAAGATTCTAAGCTGACACCATTTGAAGTTGTTTTTTATTTTCATTTTTTTAGAGAGTGAGGGGAAGGGAGGAAGAAAGAGGGAGAGAAATATCAATGTGAGACAGAAACATTGATTGGTTGCCTTTTGTATGCACCCTGACTGGGTACCAAACCTGAAACCTAAGTATGTGCCCTAACCAGTAATTGAACCCTCAAACTTTTGGTTTGCAAGATGACACCCGACCAATTGACCACTCTGGTCAGGGCTAAAGTTGGTTTTTAGATATGAGTTTTTATTTGCAGCCAATTTGGTGAGACTTACATTCTTCTGCATTTTGGAGCCTTGTGGTTCTTATGTTGTTAATTTTCCCTGAAATGATATAACAGAGAGAACAGAAATCCTGAAGAGAAGGAAAAGACAGAAGAAGTAGGGAGGAAGGAAGAGAGGGAAGCAAACAGAGAGGGAAAGGAAAGTGAGAGGGAGGGAGAGATAGGGATAGAGATAATCTTTTGGGGGGAAAACGTGAAGGCTAATGTGCAGGAAAAAACAATAGAAAAGTCACAGGTATGCAGAGAAACATTACTTTTTATTCAAAAGAAAGAAAATAACATTTACATTTTAAACATACAAGTAAGCTGCAGCTGGAAAGTAATAGGATATGGATATTTATCAAAAGAGATAAAGCTGGTCATGATTTAGTAGAAGTCACTGAGCTAATGGCTATATGAACAGTAGCTTAGTACCCTTTTTGAAAATGATCTAGCTGATTTTCCTGTATAAGTTACTCTGTGGGGATAAGGAATTTTTAAAAATGTTTGTGGTAAGATTTATGAGAGCTTTTAAAAATCTGGAGCTAATTATAAAAGTTTACTGGTAATGCCCCTCTGGCCTAGCGATAGACTCATAATGACCTCTGCTTAAGGGTAAAAGGCCATTCTGAAATGAAGGTTCTATCTACATTTACCATTAATAAATTAGTTAATATGATTTTTAGTATAATTAGAGTATAAGAGTTTGTTACCTGTTCTGGTGATGCTAATAGCATTGTTAGTGAAGAAAATGTGCTTTTATCATACATTAGAGAATCTGAGTTAGGCATTGGAATTAATTATAATTACAATACTTAGTTAAAATATTAAGGTAGAACCATTCCTTTAACTTCCATTCCAAACTTATTTTGTTAGCTAATTAATAAATTAGAAGGGGGCTTTATGAGTTTGCTAATTGAATAGTTACAAGGTTGAAAGTTATATTTTCCATATCTGCAAGTGAAGTTGCTTCAACACAAGGAGGTATCGTTAATAATGACTTTTGTGGATATTCCATTGAATAATAGTATTGGGGTACTTTGTTCCCCAGCCATCAGTGCTGCCTAACCTCTCTTGCTTTCTCACTTTCATTGTCTGCTACAAATGATGGCACCTAAGTTGTTTGAGTTATTCTCCTAAGACAAAAAGGGTTGTGTGTGTGTGTGTGTGTGTGTGTGTGTGTGTGTGTGTATGAGAGCAAGAGAGATGACACACAGGTTTGGCTTAAAGCAAAACTGGGTAGCATAAAGTTGCTCTTTTTTTTTTTTTTGCTTCTGGCTTTTCCTTTATGAATCTTGCTCTATCTCCAGCCATTACCTCTCAATCTCTCATTCAAGAAGGGCTTTTATACAGTATTAAATGTTACCAATTTTTATATACCTGTTGATGTAGGAGCCAATCTTAATGATCCCTTAGACTCATCTGTGTGCATAGTGGAGATGGCAATATTTTCATATATTTCCCGAGGTGTAAAGCACCAGCAATGGTGAATGTATACCACCAGATCTTTCTGAAAATTTTTGTTGAGAAAACCATAAAAGAGAGGGTTTATACATGTAGAAACCATAGCAACCAAATGGCAAACTACAAATACCAGGTCATGCTGACAGCTCATTAGCACCTCATGATACCAATCAAAGATGACATTGAAGATGTTCAAGGGCAACCAGCAGGCCCCAAAGGTCACCACAATGGAGATCAATATTGTATTGATCCTCTTGTTCTCACTGAGCCGGCTCTCATTTTCTCTCTTCCTGTCCACCTTTCCATTTCTCCTACGGAGGCAGATAACAATCTTCAGGTAGCAGATGAGGATGAAGCTCAGAGGGACACAGTATTGGAGCATAAACAGGAAGGTGGTGAAGAGGAGTTGGTTCATTTTGGAGGGCCAGCTCTCTATACAGGCTACCCTGTGGGTGTAGAGGTCAGTAGGAAGAGAGAGGTTGTGGAAAGGCTCCTTAGTTAGGTGGTAGGACAGGAAGAAGGGAATAGACAACATAAGGGAAAATAGCCAAATTAATGTGATACCCCAGTATGCATGCGATACATTGGGTTTCCAGCCACGGGGGTTCACAATCAGCTGATATCTTTCAACAGCAATTAACACAAGTGAGAATATGGACACGGAAATGGAGACACTCTGAACATAGGAGGTGAGTTTGCACATGGTATCCCCAAATATCCAGTGGTCCATCAGAGTGTAGATGACAGTAAAAGGGATGCACATGACACATACCAAGATGTCAGAGAGAGAGAGATTGGCAATCAGTATGTTGGTGACATTCTGAGCTTCTCTGTGCTTCTTAAAGATGACAGTGATGAGAGAGAGGTTCCCGAAAAGGCCCATGAGGAAGACTGCAGTGTAGGCTGTGAGTAGTAGGAACAAGGCTAGAGAAGAAGGTCGACAGGACTCAAAGTAGAAATATGCAGAGTTGTTGCTCTTTACACTGGTTTTATTAGCTGCTGAATGGTTTAAGGGAAGTTCCATTGTTGTCAGGGTTATGAGAAAGCTTTCTAAGCTAATTTGTATGGGTGAATATTTTAACCACCAGTTCTTGGGAAGTACTTTGCTTTCAGGCTTCCAAGGAATAATTTGTAAGATTTAATCTTCTTTGATCTTTGTGCTTGATGGAAATGCATGAATGACTTGAATATGCTTTTGAAATTCTAAAAATTAAACATAATGCAAAATATTAATGTACATTCTTAACAACCTGGACAATTCTGTAGGTGGAAATTGTCCCTGAGAGCACATAGGGAGATATCCAGAGGGTCTGTCTATACCATTGCCCTCTCATCTCAGAGGGCTTTTTTTTGTCCCACCAACATACTCTTTAAAGCTAATGAGTAAGGAAATGTGACAGCATTGTACTAACTGTATAAGGCGGCCCCAATATACATTTCTACCCCTGTTCCCCTCTGTCTTGTGTGTGTGTGTGTGCTGTGGAGCCAGAAGTGATCTGTCTGGATCCGAGTTCCATTTAGAGCATCACAATTTGGTGTCTGTATGACTTTGGCATAAATCAGTTAGCCTTTCTGCTTGGTTTTCTTGTCTGCAAAATGGGGATAAAAATATTGTTTGCACTGTTGTAAGGATTAAACAAGATCATGCAACTGAATTTGTCCCACAGCCCTAACACAGAGCATATAATGGGTGTTCAGTGTATGTGTGCTGAGTAGAATCTGTTAGTTCCCCTGCTCAGAGACAATCTATAGCCTTTATTCTGAGATGGGGGCTAGAATCACAGCTCATGCCTGGTGTGGAGTAACAATGACTGCTCCTCATGGTACTTTTTCCTTTGTTTGGTGCCATACTCTGCACAAGCAGTTTCTAGGTACACTGCTTGGATTCTGGAGATCAAGTCAAAGGGTAAGCCTGGTGAGGTGTTACTCAGAACTAACTTTATTTAGAAAGCATTCTCCAATTCTCCTTCCCTCTGAGCCCCTTCTTCTGACTTCCAGAGGAAAGGGGGTCCTGGTCCTATGGCTCAGCATGGCTTAGGGTAGTTGTATTCAGTGGAATTATTCATACCAGGTATACAACAGGCATGGTAATCCCCCTGCCATTCTAAGTGCTGAGATTTCTGGTCCAAAAAGGACATATTGAAAGAGGGCCTTGAAAAAAAAGGGTATTGAAAACAAATAGCCCTCGACTTGCTTTATTCTCTAGGAATTTGAGGAAAACATAATAACACTGATAAAGGAAGCTGAGCAATACGAATGAAAGAGAGCGAACTTTTATCTGCTGTTTGAAATTACCTTGGCTTGCTCTTACATTCTCTGAGTTCAAAAGCTTAGCAGATTCTCACTGGAAAGAAATCACCTTAAGAATACCTGTTATGGCTGTCCATGGTTTTAACAATAGAGACCACAATGAGGAACACCATAAAAATACCAGAGATGAATAGAAACTGTTGATAAAGACAGTATGTCTTATAAAGAAAGACCCAAGGAACTGATCTTTGGCTTAAATGCGATACAGTGTTAAGTAGAAATAGCAAAATTAAAAAACAGTGGTTTTTGGAATGAGGGTTTAGGGCTTGGGTGATTCAGGGGTTCAACAGACCTAGAGTTTATAGGTATTGGTTGAAGGAGAATGTCAAGACAGATTTAAGTTCTTTATGACAGTCAGCAGACTAGAAATATAAATGAGAAATGCAAAGATATGGTTGTTTACTAGAGACCTCCTACCAAGCAAGCTTCACTTGGAGGAAGGAAAGAATGAAAAGGAGGCAATAACTACTTACACTGGTTGGTAGGCCAGAATGAGCACTAGACTTCCTGACAGTCCTGCTGCCAACTAGCTGGGTTGATTCTGGCCAAGTCAGTCCCCTTCTTTGGGCCTCAGATTCTTCATCTTTCAAATGATTTTTTTAAAATGGCCTTCCTATTGTACACCTTGGTATAAGGGCCAGTGAAATAATATATTTAAAACATCTGATAAACTATTAAATAATGTGCAAATTCAGGTGCTTATTAGTGTTATTGTCCTTGTTGAGGTCTCCAGAGATCTATGAGTGCTTTTATGTCTGCTGTACTATGTATTTCTCCAACATCAAGGTTGCAGGAAAGAGAAGGGATTGTTTTTTTTATCTGTTTCATAGATAGAAACCAAAGTACAGAAAGGTCCAAAAGCTTCGCTAAAGCCCGACAAAAGCAACAAAGTCTTGTGCTTTTTTTCCTTCCCAGCCCTAACACTGTCTACAAGAAAGAAATGCTGCCTGTGAATCCTGCCAAGATAGATTTGAATAACAGTTTTCTTTTTACAGATGTGGAAATTCATACAATTTTGCAGAGTTCCTAGCAGAGTGGTAATAGAGATGGGAATAAACATGGGGAACCTTTGCGTTGCTCATTCTTGTTGATCTGGGTTGTCTGGACTGAATGGATGGGTATCACAGCAGATCTGCAACTTCATAGACACCCCTTTACTGTCTTGTGTTGAATAGTAGCAAAGCACAAATCATCTCCCTACTCCGTAAATTCCTATATAGGCTCAAAACTCAGAAAAATCAGAAGAAGGTCTGAGGGGCCTCATCTGGGAGGGAGTCAAAGGGGAGTGCTGGAGTTACATTGTGCAGTGCCCTCTACAAAGGACAGAGAAGCTTCACGGGAAAATCCTGTATGTCAGATTTGAAATGGCAATGTGGGATTTATACTTTACATAAAAGGTAACTATTAAGTTAAAATATTAAGTACTGCCTACCTGGAAGCAAAATAACACTAAGCCTTGATTCATAAAAAAATTCTTGAGATACATTTCTATTCTAGGAAAGTTCATGTTTGGTTTGTTTGGTTGGAAATGACCAGTGATACAAGCTCTCCCATCACCAAGTGATATTTTGCCCCAAAATAAGTTTAGCATAAGGTAGAAGTTAGTAGTCTTCAACCTTCAACTTCGCTGTGTCTGCCTCATGAGGCAGATGCCTTGAGCTGTGTGTATTTAGGCTTTTAATGCAAAAGTATAATATTACATTATACATTTTGGTAGTTTTGTGTTTAAAAGTTTCAAGATGAACAAAATAAAAGAATTACTCTGCCAAAGTCTCTATATGCATATTTACTTTTGTATCTGAATGTCTTTTTGTTAGTGTGTGTGTTTTTCTATGTCTCTATCCAAGAACTCTTTTTTTTTTTTTAAGATTTTATTTATTTATTTTTAGGGAGGGAAGGAAGGGAGGGAGAGAGAGAGAGAGAGACATTAATGTGCGGTTGCTGGGGGTTATGGCCTGCAACCCAGGCATGTACCCTGGCTGGGAATCGAACCTGGGACACTTTGGTTCCCAGCCCGCACTCAATCCACTGAGCTATGCCAGCCAGGGCTCAAGAACTCTTTTTTGTGGGAGTAGGTAGGGTTAGGAATAGAGTTCCTATGTGTCTGTCCTTTGGTTTTTCTGTGTTTTTCTTTTCCTCTCTACCTATCTGTCTCATTCTTTTCTGTTTCCCTCTTCCCTTTAATTGTCTATAACCTAGGAAAAAGGAAAGCATATTTTATATTATCTATTATATTTCATTTGGTGCTATGGTTTTTTGACCTGGAAGAGACTCTACAGATGTTTTAATATACTGCTCTCATTTGACAGATGTGGCTTTGCAGTTAATTACTGGCAGAACAGGACCAGAGCCCAAGTCTCCTGGCTTTCAGAATTCTATGCTCTTTCTACTATTTTTGCTGCCTCCTGTTTTATATTTCTTGAAGAAATTTATGTATTTCTTGCTCTTAATATTAAGAGCAGGTGAGTAGAACATTTTCTAATTCTTTGATATTAAAAAATTCTTTATGTAATTTCAGGGAATCTGTGGCTTTGTGCAGGTGAACTTTTGCACACCCTACTCTCCAAACATGTATGTGAGGGTCCCAAAGTTGGGCAGGACCACACTGCAAGCATTCCCTCAGTAGAACTCTCTCTCCTTTTCTTCAAACCTCTAGGAACACTGATTCTATGGCTATGTTGATACAACAACATCTCACGCTTGTTTAGGGCTTAATGATTTTTAAAGTACTAACATATTCCTTAATTCACTTAATAATTTAAGTGCTGATAAGGTGAGCCATCTTACTTGATCTCTACAGCAGTCCTGTACTTTGGGTAGGAATGATACTTTACTTCTGTCTAGGGTATAGAACTAAGTCACTGGCAACTGAGACCCAGTGACTTTCTCATAGTTGTATAATTAGTAGCAGAGTCAGGAATAAGACTTTACTTTCTAAACATATGCCAAGTAATATTTCTAGTTTATTTGATCACTGCATTAAAAAAATCAAATCAATCTTTTGTCCTCCATGAAAACAAATAGATCTAGAATCTCTGTAAAGATACTTCTTAGAACTTTCCCTAAGAACAAAGTACTATATTAAGTAACCATAAGAAGCATCAAGAAACAAATGCCTACTTTCTTACAGCCTTATGAAAAAGTGTTGTGCTTGCTTCAGCAGCACAAGCACTAAACTGGAACGATACTGAGATTAGCATGGCCCCTATGCAAGGATGACATGCAAATATATGAAGGGTTCTGTATTTTTTAAAGACCAAAAAAAAAGTGATTGGCCTGGTTATTCTATATCATGCAAATTCCTTATCCTATTCAACTCTTCACCCATTCCAAAAAATACAATTTTATGTTTATCTATTGCAGAAGTATGTGCTGCACACTTAAGATCCAGGGATAACATTGGACTCATCTGTTTTTTTACTACATGTACTTTGATTTTTCTCTGCTAGAGATGGTTTTTCTGTTTTTTCCTTCAATTTGAAAATTGTTTGAGTCCATATAAAGTGTTAGTGAAAAATGTACATATTTTATCTCCCAAAGTCTAATAGTTACTTTTAAAATCAAGCCAACACAAATTGTATGAATTGGCTTTCATTTTCTGTGAAAGTTAATGACTGAATTTGTTATTATAGGGTTGTTGAGGATTTTATTTCTTTAAAACAACAATACATTAAATGTGTCAAGAAAAGAGAGCTAAACTTTGCCAATGAAAATAAGTATACCAGGTGTTTAAGTTTATTTACAAACAGATAAACAGAAAGTAATTAAAACCCTATTGTGCCAATACCAGCATTTGGTGATTTCTTTTGATCATTTTCTTATGATGGTTCATTCTAAAGCTAAGGAGTTGTTTTTCAGATCACATAAGCAAGAAGACACAGATCACATAAGCAAGTATGATTAGGCATGAAAATATGACAGTTCTAATTTTTAATAATCTTCACATATTTTAAAAATGGGAATATTTTAACATGAAATACACATTTATCAAATCTTACATTAGCAAGATTTTCTTTAGCATTGTAGAGGTTTGTTTCCCAGTTCTTACCTGTTGGATATTTCTAGCTCTCTTGCTATTCTTTTCATCTGGTACATGTTTTCTTTCTTCATTTCCGTAATTATTTTTCTAAGCTTATTTTTCTGTCAAAAGGTGACATGTTTGCTGCTTTTCCAAATCACAACATACCCCTCTTCCTTCTTGGCTTATCTGTCTCCCAGACAATCTACAGCGTCATTTCAGAACTGCTCCCTGGAGTTGAAATCATCACACAAAGCTCTGGAATCCAGTAGGATCTGAGGCCACTGATGAGCCAGAGGGGAGGAGTTAGAATCTCAGCCCAGTGATATCAGATGGAACTGCTTAAAAGATGTGTTCAAAATGTCACTTTCACTCATCTTATAGAGATGATAATAAGAAAGCATCTTGAAAATCTGACATTTTCTGGCATGTATATGTATATTTGTACTTTAAAAAAAATCAGCTTTGCCAAAATTAGACATTTGAATTAATTACTCCTGGAAAATTATTAGTAAATGTTAGTGATTGCTCTACTATAGAAAATTTACTATATGTTAATAGACAGTGTTTATTCCTGATTTTGCTATAATTGATGAGATTAATAAAATGATTTTAAAATTAAAATTAACCTTAACTTCCCCAGGAAAGTATGGATTATTATATAGGATTTTTATCAACCACTTTGAAATTGATACAACTGAACTGCTTAAGTAAAAGTGAAGGCTGAAAAGCCCTCTTCTATATTTAAAAAATTATTATAAGAAGGGGCTATTCCTCATTGTTACAGGAGACTGAAAAAAAGCAAAATTTAGATTAAATACAGGGTGGGGCAAAAGTAGGTTTACAGTATAGAAGATAATATAATTAATAAACAGTAATACAAAATAGCCCTGGCTGGCGTAGCTCAGTGGATTGAGTGCGGGCTGTGAACCAAAGTGTTGCAGGTTCAATTCCCAGTCAGGGCACATGCCTGGGTTGCAGGCCACGGTCCCTAGCAACTGCACATTGATGTTTCTCTCTCTCTCTCTTTCTCCCTTTCTCCCCTCTCTAAAAAAAAAGAATAAATAAATAAAATCTTAAAAAAAGAAAAAAATAATACAAAATAATGTTTTTCTTGTTCTCACAACTATAAACCTACTTTTGCCCCATGCTATATAAGGAATATTTCTTTATAGTGAGAGTGAAGTATTTGAGAAACAAGGTTGTGGAATATCAAGTGTGGTTGAAGATATTTTTGGCATCACCTATTGGATAGACTAGCAACATTTAGAAATATTTCCTAACCCATGGGTTCGATGATAGAGCCCCAAATTTTATAACTAAGCCATGCAAGTCAATTTTGTTTCCCCATTCCATACACCACAATGACTAATAAAAACTCAATGTTCCAGCCCTGGCTGGCGTAGCTCAGTGGATTGAGCTTGGGCTGCAAACCAAAGTGTCACAGGTTCGATTCCCAGTCAGGCCACATACCTGGGTTGCAGGCCATGGCTCCCAGCAACCGCACATTGATGTTTCTCTCTCTCTGTCTTTCTCCCTCCCTTCCCTCTCTAAAAATAAATAAATAAACTCTTTAAAAAAAAACAAAAAAACTCAATGTTCCTAGGAAGTCAACAATATGGAAATCGTGCATCTGTGTTTTACAGACCCTTGCTAGGCAGAGTGGAGAAGTGGCAGAGAAGAAGGGAGTATGCACTACAGGAATGGCAGCCAGTCTTCTCTGTAGCAACTTGAGGAGCAGATATGGTCAGAATAGTTCAGGACCCATATCTCTTCATAACTCAGTCACCTTTTCGTGGTATCCCCATTACTTACCTCTTGTACTTGAAATATAGAGAGTAGCAAACTTTGGGAGACAGCAGGGCTTATTGAAAAACAAATTATTTCATACATAAAATACTGACAAATACTGACAGAGGCCACAGGGTTGGTGTATACTAAGAGATCATCTTAGTCATATGCGATGGTGAAGATTTTGAGAAGCAGTTGAAGTTGACATAGCTGCCTCTGAACCCAGATTTTCCCATAGTACCTAGCTGAGTCACCTTAAGTTTCTCTCTGAGTTCTTGATTCCCTTTTTATAAGGTGAATATTGCCATCTCTCTTGCAGGTTTATTTTAAACGTTAATGATAGCACATAGTTGATATTCAATAAGTGATAGTTATTATTCTTGATTTTTTTAGAATTTCCCTTAGGACAAGTATATAATCCAGCTTAAGCAGAGTTAATTGTTTTCTATTCCTACATTCCTTCCCAAAGAAAGTCTAGAATGAGTATGAGAAGTTGAGAAATGGTGAAATTAGAGTTGTTATTTTAATTTTTTAATTCTCTCCCAGGGATATGCTCATTGATTTTAGAGAGAGAGGAAGGGGAAAGAGAGAGAGAAACATCAATGTAAGAGAAAAAAAATTGATCAGCTGCCCTCCATATGTGCCCTGACCAGGGACTGAACCCACAACCCAAGTATGTGCCCTAATCCAGAATCGAGCCTGCAACATTTTGATGTGTGGGACAGCAATACAACCAACTGAGCCACCCAACCAGGGCTGTTTTTAAATTTTTAATAGGATGTGTGGTGTAATCCTATGCTGGACTTATTATTGGTGATAAAATTTAGTGAACATTAGGGTTTTGTTTGCCTCAGTTAAAAATTCATTGTTTTAATTGCAAAAGTTAGTTCATAGACTAGTAGCCTTGGACAGCAGGGTGTGTAGTCCATACAAGCATCCAAAGAAAGGACTAAGTCTCTGATTACTCCCATCTCATTATGTTATATATTACTTTAAGTTACACAGTGTGTGACAAAAGTAGGTTTATAGTTGTGAGTACACAAAACAGTTTATTCTCATATTATTTATTAATTATTGCATTATTTTCCATACAAACAACTGTAAACCTACTTTTGCCCCATCCTGTATATATTCTTAAGTTATAAACCACATTTTATCTTTAAACTGATACGCCTTCATAAGTGTAAACTAAAACATTAGGTAATTCTCTGAGTTCATACTTTGAACAATGTAGGGAAAATCAAGATTGAGGAGTGTCTTGACAAATATAAGTAGTATCTAAACTCAAAGTCTCAGTCATCTGTGTTACTACAACTGATAGATTATACCAGAAGCTTGGTAAAGAAAGTTTCCTGCTTTTTTCTCACCTTGCTACAGCTGTCTTTACTTCTGTCAAGGACTCGACTTTGTTAACACCTCTCTGCTTACATGCGTTTAGAAAAAGAGACAAAGCTATTATAATTAACCTGTTTGATATGTTTTTCCCCTTAGATTTCAGTAGATCCTAGGTGATCTATTTACTTAATAAGCTTAGAGTTTCACCTTAACACCTTAGAGTGCCTGTACCTTGGATCTTATACTTAGAGGACCCATATATCACAAATGTTTTTAAAAAATTGCCATTTGGGATCCAGTACTTAGCCCTGGCAGACTCCAATTTGTAATTCAAATATTTACTGTAATGACTAACTCATTCAGGCTCCAGATACACTTCTCTCCATCACTTTTCTTATCCCCTTAAAACAAAACGTGATTATGTCTGAATGTCATGAAGGTTATGGATACTGCTTTGGTGTCTAGGGAGGATTTCAGAAGGGCAGAAGTTCTTAGGTGAGAGGAAAAAATTAACTTAGCATAAATGCAATGGAGCTTTTCATAATGAATTATCATTTTTCAGTACTGCTATCTACTTTCTTATTTCTCTTTGTATTTTGATTTGTTGTTCTACTCAGAAATTAAGGTGATATTTGTAATAGTGGTCCACAGCAGCTAAGGAATATTTTACAATATTGAACAATTCATGTTTTTTTAAAAAAGATTTTATTTACTTTTATAGAGAGGGGAAGAGAGGGAGAAAAAAAGGGAGAGAAACATTTGATATGTGAGAGATACATCTATCAGTTGCTTCTCATATACCTCTAACTGGGAACCTGGCCCACAACCTAGGCACGTGCCCTGGCTGGGAATCGAACCAGGGACCTTTCAGTTTACAGGCCAGCTCTCAGTCCACTGAGCCACACCAGCCAGGGATGAACAATTCATGTTACTTTTAAATTTTATATATGAAGGTCCAGACAACATATGTAATGTTGATTGTTGACATAGGCAATGTATGAGCCTTGAAACTTAGAATTGTGCATAGTTCTATTTTTGTAAAAACATACATTAATGTTTAATTGTTTTTGTTCTTTTTTAAATTGCATGACCGGCCAAGATGGAGG